TTTTGAAGGAGTTTTTGAGGGATTTTTGACGAATTTTTTGGCCATTTTTGGAGAATTTTTTGGCGATTTTTGGCGGATTTTTGGGGGATTTTTGACGAATTTTTTGGCCATTTTCCAAGAATTTTTTGGCGATTTTTGGCGGATTTTTGGGGGATTTTTGACGAATTTTTTGGCCATTTTCCAAGAATTTTTTGGCGATTTTTGGCGGATTTTTGGGGGATTTTTGGCGATTTTTGGGAATTTTATGGCCATTTTTGTTGGATTTTTGGAGGAGTTTTTGGGGGATTTTTTGATGGATTTTTTGGCCATTTTCCAAGAATTTTTTGGCGATTTTTGGGAATTTTATGGCCATTTTTGTTGGATTTTTGAAGGAGTTTTGGGGGGATTTTTTTGAGGGATTTTTGGAGGGATTTTTTGCCCATTTTTGGAGAAATTTTTGGCCATTTTTGGAGAAATTTTTGGTCATTTTTGGGGGATTTTTGAGGATTTTTTGGCAATTTTTGGAGAATTTTTTGGCGATTTTTACGGGATTTTTGGAGGCATTTTTTGGGTGAATTTTGAGGAGTTTTTGGGGAACTTTTAAGGGATTTTTGGGGGGGAATTTTGGGGAGAATTTTTGGGGATTTTTCCGACATTTTTGGGTCTTTTTCTGGTTGGGGCTTCCGTAACCCTTTGTGACTTTTTTAACCTTTTCATGGTGCATTTTCCTGACTTTTTAACCCTTTCACGTCCCATTCCGACCACATTTTAACCCTTTCCGCGCCGATTCCGACCACTTCTGACCCGTTTCTCACCGATTTATTCCCAAAACGCGGCCCCTGAGCGCCCCCCAGAGGTCGGCCAGCGCCTGGCGCACGGCGCCGCAGGAGCAGTAGAAGACGAGCGGGTCGAGCGCGGCGTTGAGGCCGCTGAGCAGCGTGGCGTAGACGCGCCAGCCGGGGCTGCGGCCCTGCCAGAACCCCACCACGTGCGAGACGTTGTAGGGCGCGAAGCAGAGGCCGAAGATGACCATGGTGGCCACGGCCAGGCCCACGGCGCGGCGCCGTTTGGCCGCCGGCAGCGCCGGCCGCGCCAGCAGCGCGCGGACGAAGCCGACGTAGCAGAAGACGGTGACGGAGAAGGGGGCGAGGAAGAGGATGAAGAAGAACTCGAGGCGCAAGGGGAGGACGAAGCGGAGTTGGGCGGCCGAGAAGTCATCGTAGCAGC